CAACAGTATGAGATGCAAAAAAACCTGATTTGTGGCAGATGGGGGACTGGTTTTGAAACCAGGTCATTGCACCTGCTCATACAGACACCTCAGTGCACCAGTTTTTTACAAAACATGCCTCTTTTGCCCCACGCATCTGACTCAACTGACCTTGCTCCATGTGACCTCTTTTTGTTTCTGCAAATGAAAAGGAACCCTAAAGGATAGCGATTTTTTGACATAGAAGTAATGAAGAACAAAACAAGGGTGGCGCTGTCAGCTATCCAAACTGATGAAGCTGGAAAATGTTTCCAAGGATGGAATCGCAGATTTGACAAATGTATTAAGTATAATGTAGAATAAGTACTTTGAAGGTGATATGGTTGTTTTGTTAAGAAAAAATTAAATACAAAGCTTTAAAAAAATTCCGTTGTTTGGGTTGGGGGGTACCCTCTTACATAAAGCTGTTGCTTCTCAACATATCTTCCATCAACTTCACACCTCTTTTTTTCTTAAAAAATTGTTTTACTAGTACATATCTCACATGTTATACAGTTTCATCATTCAATCATATTAAGGGGACTTGTGCAATCATCACCATAATTATTTTCAAAACATTTTTGTGTTTATTGTACTTGGTATTGTTAACTTTCCATTTCTCTCTATCCTCCCCTGCCATGCCCCTAGGCAAATCACAATCCAGTTATTGTCTCTACAATTCTACCTCTCCCGGGTTTCTTAGACATAAAATCATACAAAATACAAACAGGAAGCAAATAAACAAAACCAACAATCACTATGCATAATATAGAAAAATATCCATCAAAAAGAAAACAAAAAATATTAAAAAACTGAAACAGTGTTAAAAGGGGGCAAAATGGAGATCAAATGATAAGGAATTACATTTCAACATAACTACATCTGCCATAATCAACTCTACAAGGTTTACATGGTTAGATAAGTTAAGGTTTCCCAACAAAATTCTCTTAAGAAAGCCTTTGCTCTTCTCAAAGAATAAGCAGGTGTGTTGTCATGACAGAAAAAGAAAATAAAATTACTTGGAGTGATTCTCCTGGCTGTTTTCCTAATTAATATAGTTTTCAATTTTCTCACAACTTCTTCATAATATACTCCATTCTGTGTCCTGTGTCCTCTGTCCTGTGAGAAAACATCACAATTACTGAGTTGGAATCAAGCAAAAAAATAATCAGAAATTTCTCAGCCGGTGCCTCTGTCTTGAATATCTATCTGTAATTTAATTGGCCTTGTAGATCTCCTCAGAAATAACAGTTTTGATAAGAATATTATTGAAGGCACTCAGATGAGGCTAAAGCAGATGCATTGCTGAGAGAACATGCCTACAGCCATCCACTGATCACAGAAACGTGTTTAAATATGTTTTGTTGGTAATAAAACTGTGTCTGTATTAACTGGATCTCTAGCCGCAGTGACACATCAAACTGCATGACTACTAAATTTCTAGAAGAAGTTATGAAAAAGAACATAACATTTTGATTCCAGCTAAATGCTTATAATATCAGACAACATTTTGCCCTAATGGTAAGTATAAGCTTGATAAGTACGTTAATTATTATATTTAGATACTTAAATAAAGTATCTATTTCCAACAGAAATAAGCTATTTAGAAAGTTCAGCACTTGTTGTAGCTAGTACAAGAAGACAACTATTATGTCAGTCAGATAAATGGGCAGGTACCTAATTTTCCGGATGTTCAATTTAGTACGCTTATCTTGCTGTAGCCGCTTAATAGTCATTCAGATAATGCAAGTCCTTTAAGGACAGCACAGATGTCTTCACATTAAAGGACAATACTGTGTCACTCTAGCATAAACAATTCCATAAATTGAATGTTACAGTCAGTAGAAAGGAAAGATCTGTCTTTGGTGCATATAGAAAATAT